GGTGAAGGAAGAGCATATGTGAGGTAGCTGGTCACTACCTAGTGAGGAAACAGAGACAAACACTGGTTCTTGGCTTGGTTTCTTTTTATTTAATCTGGACTTGAGCCCAGGTGATGGTGCCACCCACATCTGGATATACATCCTTTCTTCAGTTAAACTTTTTGAGAAACTCCTTCCCAGACAGGCTAGAGATGTATCTCCTAGGTGACTCTAAGTTGACAATGTGCCCTCAGTGTCCTTTTCCTGGATTCAAGTTCTTATGTTCAGAAGACCCCTTGGAAATACAGAGGGGCTAGGGAGTCCATCAAAAACTATGTTGCAGGCACCAAGAAGATAAAAGTTAATATTATTTGAACAAATGTGCCATAGATCTGGTGAAGTCATATGCAAGTTGCCTTCTGCACTGTCAAAACTTGTATTCTATTTGTATTTACACTCTGTATTACTATCCATATTATGAGTTTTTTCATGTTTGCTTGCTTTTGTTTTTGTTTTTTCCATTTTAAGAAAGCCTGAGCCACTTGATGTTCTAGTCCCATATGACAATCCTCACTGTCAGAATTCCTTGTTCTTTTTCCTTTGTCATGGCTTGTAGAAAATGAGGGCTGTGGGGGTAGTGCTGGACATTTCCTGAAACTCATGAGTAATGCCTAATCCAGCCAGAGAGAAAGGTGAACACTTCGGAGGGCAGTTTTAACCTTTTGGACCAATGTACAGTTTTGTGCATGTCTAAATGGAGACGCTGTCTGGCCATAACAGTAAAGGTCACATGGTTGACCAGGGTGAGGTAGGATTGTCCACAGGATTATGAATGTGGTGGGGGAGGCAGTGTAAAACATTCAAGGATTAAACATCTCCCTAACTGCTTTTCTCAGAATGGTCTACGTCTTAAAAAACAAAACATCTAAACATTCCACTATTTTTTTTTTAAACTTACAAAGATGTTAAGTCACTAATTTTTTTAGTGTTTCTTGTTTAGAATGAAAGCAACTGGAGATGCAGAGAAGACAGCTGAACTGCACCAGTGTGCTGAAGATGAAAATTTGGAGTTAGCTTATAAAAATACCAGTATGCTAAACTGAACAAAGATCCAGGGTATGGGATATTTAAAAATACTTTTCTCTTGGATCAGCACCAAAAAATATCCTTAGTTTCTATATCACCCGTGTCCAGTAAAATTACTTCTTATAAAAATCACGAACTGCAGAAATCACCACAGATGTACCCAAATACCTTTCAAATACATATGACATCAAGGTCAGGCAGTTCACTTGGAAGAAAACTGTGATGCATACAACAGAATTTCTGTAGTGAGACTGCTGTTCTCTGTACATGGGAATATTTTACATTTCACACATGGGAGGCACTGATACTTTAAAACTTAAGAAAACTATTAGAGTCATTAAGACGGAGGTGAAGAGTTTGTACAGCCTTCCACGATTTCAAAGAGGTAGTGATAGATGCTTGTCCTCCTGGCGATATCAGAAGCAGTTTCTTGTGAGTTGTTCTTCAGCTCTGGTTTGATGTAACGATTCATCAGGAGGAGTTCCAGGGTGTCTCTGCTGTCTCTGTTCCCAGCAGCAAGGTGCAAAGGGGTCAAAAGGCCTTTTGTTTGGGCGTTGATGTCTGCATCGTGTTGAAGTAAGAAAGAGGCCACCCTGGTATTATTCCACTTACAAGCACTGTGCAGTGGTGTCCAGCCATCCACAGTCACTGCATGAACATCTGCCCCCTGAGCCACCAGCTCACGAACAACATCTAAATGTCCACTGTAGGCTGCTCGGTGAAGAGGGGTATACTCATCTTCATCCCTAGTGTTCACTTCAGCAGCCTTCTCAGAGAGTAGTCTCTGCACTGTAGCAAGCTAATGGAAAGAAAGAGAACTTTAAAAAAGCCCAACTCGAAAAAGACAATGAAGAGATAATTAAGCCATCCAGTAGCTTTAGACTTTACGATTTGTTTTTAGGGGAGGAGGGTAACTGGTTAATAAGGAGCAAGTTACAGCTCATTACACCCAGGAGCAACTCAGGAACCTGATTCTGATTATCACCATAAGCTCTCACGTTATCCTACTCTGACAAATGCCCACTGTCCCATTCCTGGACCCTAGATCAACAAAGGGCTTATCTGTATTTTATATTTCACCTCTAAGGCAAGCCTAATTTTCAGATTATATCAATATACATGGTGTAAGAACCAGAAAATAAAAATGAAACTCCTTTTAACAGTAGAATAATGTGATGTTGAAGCAAACTAGAGACTACAGAACTCATCTCCTCCTAGAGATGTGATCATGTTGCTGGGCATCAAATTTGGGTTTGATCTATGGACCAGAGAGAATGCATTGTGCGCTGGGATTAAAAGGTTATTATAAACTGCAAAACCCTTTCAGTTTCAACTTACTAACACAGATATGGGAGAACTTAGTAAAATTAAGTACAAATGGTCAAGTGGGAAGAGCAGATTTTGATAGTGTTTTTGGATGACTCCAGTTCATGTGCCTCCTCACAGGACTCTGTGAGGCGTAAACAAGTGCAATAAGACACTTGATGGAGTTGCATCTAAGTCAGTCTCCAGCTTACCTATCCTTAGTAACACTGATGAGTAGAAGGATCCTAATAATTAGAGGGCTATTTATAATTACCCCCAGACATCTATAGCCAGCTTCTAATGTAATGTGCACTTTCATATACACTACTTCATTTGATATGCCTATAAATTAGACAAATATTAAGCTACCACTTTTAAAGACAAGAAATTAAAGGGTCAAAAATGGTGGAATGTGCCCAAAAGTAAAGAAAAATAGAGGTTCAGGAGCAGGTCTTTGGGCTCCAAACCAAATGCTTTTCCAACCATGTAATGGTTTCTTTTTTTTTACCCGATTTTTTTCAGCAGCCCAAAGGAGCAATTTGCTTGGATCTTTTTCCAGTTTTTTTTCTTGCAATTGATACCACTCTTCGTTTTTTTCCTCTTGATCCTCATCTTCATCAGAATTGCCTACCCAGAGACTCTGAGTACCAGTGGGAATCAGGTGTCCATGAGTTTTCAACAACTCAAGCTGGTTAAACTGTTCAGAAAAGTCCACAGAGTTTCCCAGGTCTGGTTTTTCATCATCCTTTACTTTTTCTTTTTCCATTTTTTACTACTCTTCTAAATAAATAGCATTTCAAGTACTAGGGTGCAATCCTTAAAGAGATGAATTATGTCTGCATTGTTTGATTCTTCCCAACCTGAAAACACAAAACAGTTGTTAGCACAGCAGTAACTAGATATCAATAGCACAGATATCAACCTTATAAACATACCAGATAAACTCTATGTCATAAAGGCTTTGGTGTTTTCTCATATCCATTGAAGCTACTAAATTCAGGACTTCAGAGATTTCTGCTATGATCACTTATAGTCTTTGGCTTTTAAAAAATGTTTTCTTCTACTAAGTAAATGGCTACAACCATCTTAATTTGAATGTTAAGAATAGCTACAACCACTTTAATTTGGATCTATTACTTTAGGTATGTTAAGACTGACTGAGTTCAGGCAGTGAGTATACAGGAGGACCATAATTTACCCAGTCCTAAATTAGTCTTCTGCTAAACTGCCATATTAATTTATAAACTGACATCAGCTTCAAGAGTTACCAGCCTTAAAGAAAATGAGAAGTTACTTTGAAAACCATCAGTCTTTTAACTATATTTGTTGAACTTGGCAGTTTTTCGTTGCTATTGTCAAACTGTCACTTTCATTCTGTTGATCCCATTAGATTCTAATGTTTATTATTTCATGTGCTATGTCTTATATCTGTTCTGCCATTAACCTTTTAAGGATAGGGCCATCTTTAACACAGATTATTGTGCTATTTGTATGTAACCTGCATTAAGAACTATTTGTATCACTGAACTTAAGACCTATCATTTAATTTTGCTCTGAATGGCCTCTAAGAGGAACTTATAGACTCCTCATAGTTTCGTTCTACTTAATTTCACATGTTTAATATTCTGCTGTCCTATTAAGCGTCATCACTAGAGACAAGAGCACTTGTCATGACCAGTAACTTCTTAGGGCCTATAAATTCCACTAAGGGGTTTGTAAGGTTTTGGCTGTTGTCTTTTTTTTTTTTTTTTAAGAGTTATCAAAACTGCTATTTCCTTGACGTTTTCAATTTTTCCTTTCACCTCAAACTTATTTTCTAAAAAGCTACCATACGTCAACTCATTAAACGCTTAACAGATGTCAATAACCAAAATACAGCACAGATCTCAGCCTTCCTTCCCACACCTGAAAAGTCCTTCATATTAATTCTGAACTTATCGTTTCAGATGTAAGCTACATACAAAGTTGTCTTGGTATGTTTAATTCAAAAATCAAACCCAAATGTATCTCGACTCTGGGTACAAAGCTCGATGCATACTACTATGGAGGAACAGGATGTATTTCCTAACATAAAGGGAACACTCCATTTTTAGAACTATACGAACTGTTCCAATTCTCATCTCAGTGAGTGGAGCTCCACGTCCCATTTCAGAGGTCCGCGCTAGGGTTCTGACAGATTAAGACACGTTGTGGTACCTCAGGACCTTCTGGGGTCCTGAGGAGTCTGATCTAATCCAAAGATCCAAATTATTTTTACTGCACTCTCTTCAAGGTTCTCTGAGCATACAAAGCAAGGCAGACGTGGTGAGCCGAGGATTCTAGGGCGATTGTCAAGGGAAACAGGGAAGATAGGTCTTTGGTCTAGCCGGTCAAATCCCAAAGCGAAGAAACTGCCATGGTGCTACCTGCGAGGTGGCCGGCCGCCCACAGCTGCCCGCCCCACCGTTCCCGACACGCGCCTCACCTTCTACAGAGAGAACCTCACCGAGAACTTCGTTTCCGGGTTCGCCCCTTCGCTGCTCAGGATTGGCTCGACGGAGCCATCCTGTAGCCAATGAGAATCTAGAAACTCTGTGACGTCATACCATCACTGGATCTCGCGAGAAGTACGGACGCCGCTCTCCCGGGCTTAGTTCAGGTTTCTGGTAGCTGTTTTCCTCTCGTTCTGGTGACTCCCGCGTTTTTTCCTGAGGTAGAGATGGGCTGTGGCCTCGCTGGACGGCTCTGACAGGTCCAGGTTGGGGTAATTTAGGCCTTGCTACGGTCTTCTAGTGTGCGGGTCCCGGGCGGAAGCCCGAAGTGTGTGGGGCCGTCAGGGAAGACGGGCCGGGTGGGCTGGGAGGGATGCAGGCTCTGCGTTCCGCCACGGAGTCCAGCGGGTGGAAGAGTGTCTGTAGCGGTAGCGCCACCTTCGCAAAGTGACCACTCTGAGCTGTCTGTCACCGTGGATCCGAGAGGTGTTCCACGTAGACCACGTGTTTGGTTATTTATTCTGGCTTTAAATGTGGGCTGCCTCAAAAAGCCATGTTAGTGTTAAGATGTGGGGTGGTCTCTGATTCAAAGTCCTGAGCGGTGCAGCTTAAATTTATGCACGTAAAAAGTCATGTTTACACACCAATCTCATGAGGAAAATAGTAGAGAAATAGTGATAGTGCAATTAGGACTTCACTTAAGGATGTGACTTTCTGTTCTTAGGACATGAAACAATTATAGTAACTGTTGAAGACGAACATAGGACTTTCTCAAAATTGCCAGTTCAAGAAGTCTACTCTACAACTGAACTCGTGTTGGTGAAATATGTGCAACCTTTATAATATGTGCATTTTGGTGTTTATTTTTAGAGTTTGGAATCAAGTGGCTTTTTTGACATACCTGAACACAGAACCCCAGGGTACTTGGCGAGGAACCTGGTGCCAGAGGAACTCTACCATAAAAATGAGCCCCACCGATCCACTGTAAGCCTGACATTTTAACTGTGATGAAAAATGACATTTTAATAAAAACAGCAACAGAATTTGGTAGTGGACAGAGTATCCCTAAAAACGTGTCTGTCATGCTTAATTAAAAGCACATACTGTATGCTTATTAGCAAAAACATAAGGTGGAGCAATAGATAAATGTGTTGCAGTAATTTATTACATGACCATGCAGGGAAGCTCACCCTTGGGCTTTGTCTTAAAGTGCGAGTCTATAGTCTTTTAGAGTAAGTTGCCCTAGTTGAAGTGAATTTGAACAAAATGGAAAGAAATAGAAGGACTATAGAAGTTTGGTGGGGAAAGAAAATCCTTGAACATGAATGGAGTCTCCCACTCTGGTTTCAAGCTCTTGGTCAAAACTAGTTGTATAGTGTTAGGAAGGTCAGCAATTCTCTGGGCTTACCTGGTTTTATTTTTCATTTGCATAACTAGACTAATAATATTCCTTTCCAGTTAATTTTGAGGTCTAAATGAGAGTGGAAGGGTATAGCTGTGGGAGCTGAGAAGTTTGTGGTACAGTCAGGGCTTCGTGCATACAACTGTGGAAGTCTGTGAGTTGTGGAGTTATGTACAAAGTTGAATTAATTATAGTTGAGTGAAAATAGCCTCACTTTTAATGCTCTTTAGCCTTGTTTCTGCTACTGGCTGTGTGATGAATGAGTTGCTTTCTCTGTGTCTGGCCTTATTTTTTAGAGATAGCGACCATCTATGGGGACTGAGATATAAAGTGTCTTAAGGAACTAAACTTATTGTTAAGTTTAAGTGAGTGTTAATAACTGTTAAGCTGCTGATTTATCTGAAAGTACCTTTGTTTGGATTTAAACAATTCTGTTTTGTTATTTGGCCAAATTTATTACTGAAAACTATAAAGAGCAGAGTCAGGCAGATGTCATCAGAGTTTGGGATGTAAGCAACTAGTATATTAGTATAAAATCTATTCTTACAGTTAGAGGAAGATTTTTTATGACTTTCCTGGAAAAGTGTACAGTCAGGTACTTAACAAGGAAGCAAGCAAAGCCTTCTGGATTTCTGTGAAGCTATTTAGGGAACTGACTTGACTGCATAAAACTGGTCATAAGAAGGCTATAAATTTCAGATCAGACAGGGAACACTTACAAGTGTCACTGAACATATGCTCTGTCTTGAACTTGGATTAGAAAGCTGTGCTGCTGAAGATCTGTTGAGTACTGCAAACTTTGATGCCAAGTCTGAGGCAAGAGCAACAATTCTGCTTTGTAGTTGCTATTGCTTATTTATGCTCAGGTCTCCACTTGTTTGAATATCCTTTTAGTAGATCGCATTGAATTTTGTTCTCTTCTTTATACAGTGATGATGAAGACACATTCAAAATCCTGGTTGCCACTGATATTCATCTTGGATTTATGGAGAAAGATGCAGTTAGAGGAAATGATACATTTGTGACATTTGATGAAATTTTAAGACTTGCCCTGGAAAATGAAGTGAGTTTGGGTTACATTGTGCATGCTCTAATGTACTTCCTTGGTATCAGGCTCTTTTCCATTAAGTTAGAGTTAATTATATAAATTCATGCATTCACATTCCTTGGCTAAATACCAATACACTAAAAGGTAAAATTAAAATATGGTTACAATTTTGAGTTCTTTGTGTTTACAATTGGGGCAGAAACTGCTGTGACAAATAACCTTCAAATTTAGAAACACAGGGTGTTTAATGAGGTACCAACCTGTTATGATTTCTACCTGAAATAAAAAGATGGTTGTTAGTTTTCAGAGAACATAGATCCAACCAGATGTGAGACAACAGTTCCCAAGCAGTCAAGTACAAGGTCACAGTTGTCCCTGGGACACTATTTCCTGGGACTTTGGAGGTAGAGGAGATTGGTGTTTATATGAGACCAGTCCAGGAGGTGACATTTAACACATGTGTTGGAGAAACAGCCTTTAGTTATGGGTGACACAAAGAATGTACGGTCGGTGTAAAGCAGATTTGAAGGCCCAGGTATAAGACAACAGGGGACTATGTTAGGGACTGGTTTGGCTTGCCTTGTAGTCCATGTGTGTGCTGAAAGAGGGCTGAGAATATAGCTCGGTTGGTAGACTACTTGCGTGCCAGGTACGAGGCCCTGGGATGAATCCACAGCACTACGTAAGACTTGAGTGCAATGGCACACCTGTAATCCCAACACCAAGGAGGAAGAGGCTGGAATGCCAAGGTCATCCTCAGTTACCATAGTGACTTTGAGGCTAGCTTGAACTACATGGATGAGATCCCATATTTAAAAAAAAAAAAATGCCAAAAGCCTAGAACTGAGAGAGTTTGAGAAGTATTAATGTGCAGTTGCCAGACTCAGTTTGTGCTCAGTGCAGAAGAAAGTCTAGCAGCCTGGTACTGTAGCAGGAGTTGCTTTTAAAACTGGCAGTATTGGGTGTAGAAAAGAATGAATGTGAGAGACGATACAGAAAGTGTACATATGTGAGTTTTTAGGATTTGAAAGTAAGGTATGTTGAACGTGGGTGCCTGATGGTGGCATTGGTTTAAAACGTCTAATTGAAGGAGAATCTGTCTGGGAAGGTGTTGAACTCTAACTTAGCCTGAATAGGGTTGGAGATTGCAGTGGGGAATGTTCCAGTAGGTAGGTGAGTGTCTGCAGAGCCCAGGAGGGAGCAGGAGAATAAACATAGGAGCCCTGCCTACTCAGCGGTTTCCCTTCAGCTAATGGTGAGGTGAGATCCCTAGTGCCCTCTACATCTCTAGCCCTCTTCACTTTCTTGGTCAGGCCCATAACAAAACCCAAACAGCTCCTGCCTCACTTGTCCCGCAGTGTAGTAGCTCTCTCTTGCTCTTTCTGCTTCGTACTTTGCCTTCTGTGTATATTCAATGTCACAGCTAAAGCACTGTTGGTACTGTAAGTCAGATCTGTCATCGTCTCAAACTCTTCTCAACAGTCTGTTTTGAATCTAGAGTCAAATGCATACAAGGCTATACCTTAACCTTGGTCCTTCCTGGGCTCTGGATCCTTTACAATGTTACCTGTTCCTCCCAGGGCCCAGGATCATTTGTTGCCCTGCCTGTTCCCTGGTGGGTTCTTCTCTGCGACCTTGCAGGTCAACCTTTCTGATTTACTATCTGACTTTAGGCAGGGTGACTTCTCACTTCAGTTTATTTTTTTTGAGGGGTAGGATAGGGAGTTACTGAGGTGATCCTGTAGCCCATGCTGTCTTCAAACTTATATGTGTCTAAGGACAACCTTGAAATTCTGGTCCTCCACCTCTTAAATACTGGGTTGTAGACATCTGACACTGTGCACAGCTGTAGTTTACCTTTTTGAAGAGATTTTTTCCCCCATACCTCCAAGAACTCTGACATGACTCTGCTTTTCTTCTCATAGCTTCATTGAAATTGGTATATTAACTTGTTTATCTAGTAATTATCTGTGCTCCCCTATAGACAGTAAAATCTTTCTGTTGCTTAGTAATGTATTGTGTGATGCCTAAGAAAACTTAGCTCTATACCAGGCACCCACTTAATAGCTGTTGAACTTTGCCCTAAAATTCCCACAGGCTACTAGCAGCCTGCATTCTCCCCAGAGTGATGTTTCTGCTATGAGATAAGAAAGAGTGGGTGCTGGCTGTTGGTGACACACACCTTTCATCCCAGCGCTCGATAGGCAGAAGCAGGCAGATCTCTATGCATTCAGCTAACTGCTTGCTCTCTTGCTGTAACGGAGCACTGTTGTCTATGTGTAACGGGAGTGAGAGACAGTTACAAGGAGTAAAGCAGTTTTCCTACACAGCCTCGGATTCCACTGAAGCGAGATGAGTGTAGTGCCCACCTTTCAGTATCCTTCTTCTAGCCCTCTAAAGCTTGACATCCCCTAAGTTTCAGTCTATACTTGTTATTCTCCTGGAAGCAATAAAATTAATTTAATTTTCATCTAGATGAAGCTTTAGTCTTTGGTCTTTCCCGTGGATTTAAACTGTAACTTGCACCTTGAAAAGGATATAGGCAGCTGTAGGAAGCTTAGAAATTGGTTGATTATGCAGGTTTTATGTTCTGTCAGGATAGATTGTTTCCCTCAGTGGAGTAAAACTCAAAGCCGAAGGAGGCCTGCTTTCCTGCCACGGAACCCTGGGTATGTTCTTTTGTAAGTCTTTGGCTTTGGGAACACCTCCCCCTGAGCCTGGCTGTTACTGCTTTGTCTATTTCTACTCCGTGTTTCCTGATCTCTTCTCTGCACACCCCATGCTGGATCTTTCAAGTGCATATATTGTATGTATCCTTTAGCATTTTTTAGTTGCTATATTTACTTAGTTTTTGAAATCTAAATTCTTGACTTTTAAGTTCTCTTGTATATAGACCCTTGCCATCTAGCTATTCTTATTTTATTCCTTTGTTCCTTGATTTTTTTTTTTTTTTTTTTTTTTTTTTTTACCTGTCTGATACAGGGTTTCTCTGTATAGCCATGGCTGTCCTGGATCTCACTCTGTAGACCAGGCTAACCTTGTCTCTAATCTGTTTACTTACACACATAGCATATTGGTATGTGAGTGCATGTGTTCATGTGTGCATGTGAGGCCAGAGGTTCAATTTCTTTCTACCATATTTTTTGAAAGAGTCTCTTATTGAGCCTGGAGAACTTATTATTAAAGTTCCTTTGACTAGTGCAGCAATAGAGATCTATGTTTCAGTGTCTTCTGAATAATTAAAAACTAATCATCTTGGCTCTTTTTCATCTATCTCCATTCATCTGTGCTGTGATTGAGCCTAGGGTCTACCATGGGTATCATACATGGCAGGCCAAACTACCAGTAGCATACCCCTTCCCTTCTTTAAGGTTGAGCAGTATCCTCACTTCACTGTGTTGCTAAGGCTGGGCTAGAGAGATGGCTTAGCAGTTAAGAGCACTGACTGACTACTCTTCCAGAGGTCCTGAGTTCAATTCCCAGCAACCACATGGTGGCTCACAACCATCTCTAATGGGATCTGATGCCCTCTTCTGGTGTGTCTGAAGACAGCTACAGTATACTCACATAAAATAATTAAATCTTTAAAAAAAAAAAAAAGAAAGAAGGCTCAAGTAATCACATGAGGCTGGGAAACCTTTTCTATCTTATCTATATTTTAAACAATTTTTACCTTAAACTTACTAATTTTAACACTGTTTTCTATTGATTAGGTGGATTTTATTTTGTTAGGTGGTGATCTTTTCCATGAAAACAAGCCCTCAAGGAAAACCCTGCACAGCTGCTTGGAGCTGCTTAGGAAGTACTGTATGGGTGACCGCCCTGTGCAATTTGAGGTCATCAGTGACCAGTCAGTCAACTTTGGTTTTAGTAAGTAAGTACACTTACATTTGAGGGACAGTTTTCTTGGGTGTGATGTTTATGTCATTGCTGGCAAAATTCCCTTACAAAGCAACTTTAAAAGAAAAACATTTGTGTAGCATATAATTCCATGTTAGAGTACATCATTTTGGGAAAGCCAACATAGAAACTTCCAGCAGCTAGTTTTATCCACAAGAGCAGAGAGAGAATGCAAACATGCATGCTTACTGCTCAGCTAGCTTTCTGTAGTCTCATACAGTCCTGGACTAAAACTTAGGGAATGGTGCTGCTCACAGTGGACTTTGGCTTCCCTGTTACTGTAAACAAGACCGTTTCCCACAGACATGCTCACAGGCCAGTAGGCACTCCTTCACTGAGACTCTTCCCAGGTGATTCGAGATTATTTCATGTGATAAAACCAACACATTATCTACTAGTTCTTTTGTCTTCGTTCTGGGCAGTTTTGCAGTTGTTCAGTTCTTTGAATTTTCTATATATCATTTCATTAATTTGTATTTCTGAACTAATGTTGGTATTAAGTTTATTCCTAAATCTCTTATTCTCTTTTGTATCTTCTGTTTGGTTTTTTGTTATTGTTGTTTTTGTTTTCTATTTTAAAACTTGGTATTTTTTTTATCTTTTTGACATGAATTGTGTAAGTTACCTTTATATTCTAGCTACTAAGCCATTTTATAGGCAGATATATTTTCTCTAGTCAGTTGCCTTTAGCTGTGTTTATGGTTTGTTGTTGTTGCCAGATGGAGTTTTGATGTAGTCAAATGCAGGATTCTTTTTGTTTAAGATCATTACTATGTAAGATTTTCTGTAAGTAGATCGTCCATGTTGGGGAACAGACCCAGGGCTTTGTGTATATGAAGCATCGACTCTCCCACTGCCTTTGTTTTCTTTTTAAAAATCTAAGGACACCATGGTACCTTTGAGTGAAGTTTGTTCTCAATCTTATGTGCTCTCATTATGTTTCTTTTTCTTGTCTTTGATGACTCTCCTACTGGTCAGTGTTTGTAGTTCTGTTGACCTTGGTATTAGGCTAAGATGTCTTCAGGTTTCTTCAGTGCAAAGCTGCTTTTCTGTCCATTGTTCTTGGTTAGAAGTGAGTCTTTAAGTCCAGCCTACACTCAATGGGAGAGGATTATGGTCCACCTCTCTCTGGAGTGGGGGCGAAAGCCTTTAAGCCCAGCACTCAGGAGGCAGTTGGATCTCTGTGAGTTCAAGTTCAGCCTAGTTTATAGAGAGGGTTCCAAGATAGCCAGGGCTGTTACACAGAGAAACCCTAGCTCAAACAAACAAAACAACAAAAGAACAAAAAACAAAACAAACACATCACCACTGGAGGGAGGAAGATCAAAGTATCCCTGGCTATTTGTTAAACTTCCTGTTACTGAGCTCCTTCCTAACCCCTTCTGTTTTTCACAGCGTCTTTCTATATTATTCCTGTTGGCCTCAAACTCACAACCTCTTGCTTCAGTGCCTTTGCCAGCTATGGTTATAGGTGTGCACTCCCATGCCTACCTACCTTCTCTCTGAAGTAGCTTTCTTTAGGCATATGTGAGTGATGAGGTTTTATTCTTTTTATTGCTGTTGAGTCTGTTGTCAATTTAATTGCTGGAAAGTCAGTAGAGCATAATGCTTAGGAACATTGGATACATGGATTGCCTGGGTGTGGTTATTCATGCCTGCCATCTCAGCATCTTGGAGGCATAGGTAGGAGGCCAGTGTGGACATGCATCAAGTTCAAGGTCTGTCTGGCCTATGTAGTGAGAGCCTGTCTCCCCAACTTCCAAAAGAGCATGGATTCTGGATGGTGTCAGTTCAAATCCTGACTCTGTCATTTAATGGTCACATGACTAAGTCATTCACTTAGTTATTCTCTCAGTTCCATTGTTTTTAAAGGGACAGAATTGTGCCAGGTACATGATTACGGAGATTTGAGTTAGCAAGAAAACTCCTTAGACTATTTTGATCTGAAGAACTCGCGTAGGTGACTGAGGCACTCCTTATGCTCTTGAGCCTTTAACTGTAGGTTGAACTCTGCTTACCTGCTTGGGTTTCAGCATACACTTGGCTTTTCATTCGCTTATATAGTGCTAGGGTTGATCAAGACCTCACATGCCAGGCTCGCTGACCGCTGAGCTGTGTCCCCAGCCCTTCATCCTGCATTTTAATCTAAGGATTGTTTTTCAGCAATTTCAGAAGGTTTGTTTGTTTGTTTGTTTGTTTTTTGAGATGGGGTCTCCCTGTGTATTTTTGGCTGGCCTGGATCTTACTGTGTAGACCAGGCTGGACCTGAACCCATAGAGATCCTACTTCTTCTGCTTTCCAAGTGCTAGGATTCAATGTGTGTGCCCTATACCTGGCTTAATTTCAGGAAATTCTTATTCATTGCTTTTTTAAAACAATAGTTTTCCCTTGCTTTTCCTGAATGTTTTTATCTTTTAATCTTTTTAATTTAAATTATTTTATTTATTTATTTATTTATATTCCAGTCATTCCCCCCCCCCTAACAGTTCCTCACCCCATTCCTCATCCCCTTTGCCTGCAAGAGGGTGCTCTCTCCACCAGCCCTCTCCCTTCCCTGGGGCCTCAAGGCTCTCAAGGATTAAGTGCATCTTCTCCCACTGAGGCCTAACCAGGCAGACCTCTGCTATATTTGTGCCAGGGGCCTCTGGCTGGCCCATGTATGCTCCTGGTTGGTGGCTTAGTCTGAGAACTCTCTGGGGTCTGGGTTAGATGAGATTGCTGGTCTTCCTATGGGGTCTTTCTCCCTTTTAGCTTCTTCAATTCTTCCCCTAATTCAACCACAGGGGTCCCTGACTTCAGTCCAATGGTTGGGCGTAAGTATCTGCTTCAGTCTCTATCAGCTGCTGGTAGGGCCTCTCTAAGTACATCCATGCCAGGCTCCTGTCTGTAAGTACATCATAGCATCAGTAATAGAGTCAGGCCTTTGTGCACCCCCACGAGATGGGTCCCAAGTTGGGCCGGTCACTGGACCTCCTTCCTAAGTCTCGTCTCCCTTCTTGTCCCTGCAGTTCTTTTAGACAGGAACAATTCTGGGTCAGGAATTTTGACTGTGGGTTAGTAACGCTGTCCCTCCACTTGAGGCCCTGTCTATCTACTGGAGGAGTTCCCTTTCCCCAGCGTTGGGCATTTTGGCTAAGGCCATCTTTTAAGACACAAAAGACTAGGGACTCTCTTTTTTGATATGAACACTAACTTCACTTTCATCTCTCTGAATTGCATTCTGGTTAATTTCTCCTTCTGATTTCCTTAGATCATACAGGAAAAATGGATAAACACAGAAGGGAAATTTTGAAAGAAGCCTGGATTGGCAAAGATCAAGTAGCCTGATTGGATTATAAGTAATTTAAAATGTGGTTCATGAATTGGCAGAGAGGTGGAAGAGACTAGAACTCCAAAACGAGCCTCATGTCGCAGGCCATTAATCTTTGATGGGGGTGGTCGCTCACACCTTGGGGAAAATAGCTATTATTCATTCATAGTTCTATAAGGAACTGATTAAATATTAAAGAAAATCTGTGTATAGAGGCTTTGTAAAAGCATCTGTCTCCTTCCTTGTAGCAGAGTGTACTTTTATGAAGGTTTTATTAACTTCCCAGTTACCAGCTATCCACAATTCATACAAACTATTTGTGGTTTGAATTTATTTGAGATGTCATGTACAAAACCCAGGAGCTAGGGGAAAAAACATTGATACATTCGTCTTTTTAAAAAATAAATATATTTATGGCAAAGGAATCCTGGAACAAACGTAAAAATCATAGTTTACTAAGGAAGAGTACATGTGGCTCAGCACAAATTAAGGCTTAGTTTCCAGTGACAGTTTCCTTCAAGTTGATTTAAAAAATCTGTTAGTTTATAAAACATAGGTGAAGAGTATACGTAGTGTACAGAAATGGAAATGGCACTGATAGCTATCCGGAGCAGCCGCCTCATTTGTAAGGCATCCGATGAGTCGAGACTGAAGGGTTTTCTCAAAGACACTGGTATAGATGGACACTTCTCAGTGCACATTACAGTTACCTAAGACGCTTGGGTGTTTGTATCTAGTCTCCATGCCAAATGGTGAGTTTCTTGGAGCGTGACTTGGGCATTGATATTTCTTAAAAGATTACTAGCTAATTAGAGTTTGTAGCGAGAATTCAGAACCACTGGTGTAGGCTTAAAGGGTTGATAATAACCGTGCAGCGGAGGTTGGGAGAAATGACCTCTGGTACACATTCAGTATGGCCTCACTTGGAAAACAGTACCAGAAAGAGTCTAAACGGTAGGGACCCACTTAAGCTCCGACAGTGTCCTTACACTAGAACTCATGCAGCTGACAAAAAGCTCAGAGGAGCTCTCTGTGGGAAGATTTCTAAATAGATGAAGCAAGGACAGAAAGCTATATTGTTGAACATACGTAAGAAAAGGAAAAAAGTGTGCTTTTTTGTACATGTATAGATAAGTTTTTGGACAGACATAATGGAAATCGCTCGTCACAGAGAAAAGGAGCTTGATGGCTAGGGGAAGGAATATGCAAGGACTAAACTGTGTATGGAGGGAGAGTCAGTGGACCTGACGGTGGGCTGCTATAAAGCTTGGCGTTTTGGATTCCAACATGCACAGATCCTTTTTTCCCCTCCCCTGAACCTTATCCAAAGGGTTAAAAATTTGAGAGGCCTATTAACTTGCCAGTTATCAGTTGCCTACTGTTTTATATAATTCATATGCTTTAAGATACTTTCAAACTTTTTAATTTAACTAAGTTTATTTCCAGCACTGAGCTGGGGTTGTCTGGAGATACGGGTTTGTAGCTGCCTAGTGCATTACCTCTTGGAAGGAAAGTTTTGGGGAAACAGCTTTTATCCCTTACAGAAACTTTTGCTCTTTGTTTTCTTTTAAGGTTTCCATGGGTGAACTACCAGGATGGCAATCTCAACATTTCCATTCCAGTGTTTAGTATCCACGGCAACCATGACGATCCCACAGGGGTAATTACAATTCTGTTAGAATCTTAAAAATGACATTGAATTTATCAGGGCAAGGCATTGATCTTTTTTCTAGTAATTAGTAGTCAAATTGAGCCATGAATTCAAATTAATTTATTTTTATTTATGATTTTATATTTCTTTGTTGGTTTGTTTGTTTTTTAATATGGAATAAGCATTCTTACATGAGAGAGCCATGCCAGTTTCTTTTCTTTTCAGAACCAAGGGTAGAGAGGAGGTCTGACACTTGCCAGGCGACAACTCTACCATCTGGTTTCCCTTTTTATTTTGAGACAAGATCTCATTAAGTTGCCTAGGCTGGCCTTGAGCTTGTGATTCTGTGTCAGCCTAGAAGGACCTGCAATTACAGCCCCTGATACAGGGCCTGCTGGGGCCTTCCTTTTGGTTCAGTGGAATTTGCTAACAGTGAGTTGCTAGGAGTAGAGTGACTTCCCATAGAGTGACATAGTGCTCTTCAGCTTACTTGAGCTCCTGGATTCTCACTGTAAAAAGTAACCTTTTTTTTTTTTTTCTTTTTAGTATCTTAAACTTAGATTCAATTTTTTTTTCCCTGTTTGATATGGTAATAAGACTGGCAGTCCTAACAGAAAGTATGTTTGTGTCCTCTCCTGACATTGTAGGTCATTAGTTTAGTTTATGGTCATGTATCCCCCAAATAAACAAAAAACATTTTATAAGAGATCTACTTTATATTACAAAGGTCTTGATTCATAGCTGATTTTGTATATTTTTTAGTGGCCAGGGTGTCATGTTAGTGACTAGTATGAAATGCTACCTTTGCTTCTGCTGTATGCTTTCAGCTGCTGTAGGTGATATGTAGTTAGAAGATGGTAGCAACCTCTTCAACAGTGGGATTTAGTTTTGAGAAGATACTGTCATAATTTGTTTTTGTAATTACAAGTTGAATGTCCTTAATCCAAAATTATTAAGCCAAAGTGCTACAAAATCTTAAAGTTGAGCCTCAGAAGTTTTTGGTTATGGATCCTGTTTGCTTTTGGGTTTTCATCCTTGGGATTCTCACCAGGTAAGATCTGCACAGATGTTCTAAAGTCAAGAAAACCCAAATTCTGAAAACACTTTGATCTTAAGTTTTGTGAGTAAGACATACTTGTGTGCGGAGTGTGCTTTTGATGTGGGCTGTGCTGCTCACGAAGCCCACTCCTTTCTACAGACACACTCATGCTCTTTGAAACTTTGACACAGGCAGATGCCCTCTGTGCCCTGGATGTTTTAAGCTGTGCTGGGTTTGTGAATCACTTTGGACGGTCAATGTCTGTGGAGAAGGTTGACATTAGTCCAGTTCTGCTGCAGAAAGGAAACACAAAACTCGCTCTGTACGGCTTAGGTAGGTGATTGACTTAGGTCACATGTCATTCCATTGTCCATGTCAGTGGAGAATTGTGTGTACAGTTGGCAAATACAGTGTTAGAGATAGTTGAACCCAAAGGGCTTCCAGAGGGGGAGAGTTGGACAAATTTGGTTATTTCTTATTGATTTCTATAAAAGATGGTGGAATTTTCTTAGTATTTCTAAGGACTGATAACTCTTCATACTTAATGGCAGTTTTAGTAGAAAAAAAATAAGCATAAAAAAAAAACTTTGCTTAGTTTCTATTTACTGTTTTGGACCTTTTATTTAGAGTCACATTTACAAAGCTGGATGATAGAAGTGCAGACTACTTAGCCAAGCTGCATTTTGGTGTCACAGAGTTCAGAGCATCCTATCCAGTACAGTGACATTGGCCTTCGTAGTTTGTGAAACTGAAATCTGGCTATTGTGAGTTGTGACATACTAGATGTAAGAGACAGAGGAAGACCTATTATTAACAGATTGCATATGTTAAAATTTATTTTGCTACTTACCTGTTTCAGTGTGAGCAGAAGAAAATTATGTATCTGCTGCATTAATGGCTCACATTCTGTACCTGTTCTACAACTGACATCTTATTAAAGCAGATTCAGAAATGTGCTTTATCCTGGGTGTGGTATGATGTGCCTGTAATCTCAGTACTGTGGAGGTGAAGAGTGGAGAGAGAGTCCTTGGGGATCACTGGGCAGCAGTGTAGTGAAATCAGGAAGCTGTAAGCCAATAGGAGGTTCTGTCCTCAAAACAAGGTGGATGGCACCCAAGGAACGATGCTCAAGGTTGACCTCTGGTTTTCACCTACACCTCCTGCTTCCCGACACTGCACTGCATTCATTTCACTGTTCTCCGTTTCTTTTTTTTGTTTTTTGGCTACTTTGAGACAGGGTCTCACTATGTACCTCTGGCTCACTAAACTCACTATGTAAACCAGGCTGGCCTCAAATCCACTTTTCTCTGCCTCCTGAGTGTGGTTAAAGGCATGTGTGTGCCACTATGCCTGGCTTCTGTATTATATTTCTTTACTGTTCTGTAGGAAAGCTTTTGTTTTTTTGCTAGACCTAATTGTACATGAATGAAAAACTAAGTAAGTATTATTTTTAAAGAATACATTTTTAAAATTCTGTATATTTTGTATCTCAACTATTTTTGAGGCTAGAAATAATGTATAAAGCATTATTATGTGAGTGGTTGCTGGTCCCCTCACATCCACAATCTGCTGTCTCCACATACTCAGCTCCAAGGAAGCCACTGCCATTGTGGGAAGCCCTCCCCTCAGCCTGTGCTTTCAGGTTTTACCAACACTTTGAGTGCTTTAGCTTGTAGGCTTCCCACCAGCACCCTGGGCCTGTGTGCTGGGCGGGGCCTGTCCTACATCCACCTCACAGTTCACACAGTTCACACAGTTCACCCAGACGTACAGTCATTGGCTTTTCTTTTGTGGTCAGCATAGGAAGTGGCAAACTGTCTCCAGCTCCAATTTATTACTATCTTGTTGCTTGTTTTCTTAGTATCTTCTTCTAGACCTAGGCAAATCTCTTAGTATAGGAAGAATTATTTAAAACCATTAAATTACTAAAAAGTGTAAACTCAGTGTGTATAATAGTATAATACTTTAAAATAGAATTTAAAAATCTCATCTTTTTAAGCATCCATTATTTCTGTGCATGTTATTGGTATATCGCTGAAAAGCACAGTTATTTATCATTCCTGGTGAGAGGGTGAGGGGTGACGTTAGTAGACATTCTAATGGGGTATAAGCATAGGGAACTCCTTTAGTTCTCCTTACACACATTACTCTGACTTTCAAATGGAAAGTGTTTTTTAAATGCAACTGAGAGCTGTTGAGCATAAACCTGGGATATTTGTTAATAGATAACCCTTATACGTGTGATTCCAGAATTCAGATATATAGCTGAACAAGAAGATATACTTTTGAGAATGTATTATTTAGGAGTAAAACTCTATTTACCTTTTAAATCCACAGTAGGAAAACAGTTAAAATAGTGTCACGTCCCTCCACAGGATCCATTCCAGATGAAAGGCTCTATCGGATGTTTGTCAATAAAAAAGTAACAATGTTGAGACCAAAGGAAGATGAGAATTCATGGTTTAACTTATTTGTGATTCATCAGAACAGGTAAAAATACTCTGAAAATTTTTAAGTGAAGCACTAAGGTTTCCAAGACCTGTTTGTTTGTGCAGGCCTTTTGTAAAGGCCTGACTCCTTCACCATCACCAGGAGGCGTTCAGGTGGGGCTATCTGTTTTGTGTGACTTAAGGCTGAACCTAGTTTACAAGTATTACTACTTGTCAATGAATTTTTGCCTGGAATGGATTGAGACAGGCAAGTAACCGAATTGACACCAATGCATCCGAGTAGAATGTCGCCATCCCTTCTCCTCATGTCCCTTAGAAACATCAGCCATCCCATGTCCTTCACTGTGTGACTGTTATCCACAGGAGATACTTAGTATAGTAGGAATCGCCTGTGTATATGTTGTAGACAGCAAGTTTTTTAATATTACATTACTGAATTTCATCCTTCCCAGTGCTTAGGAGTGTTACTGATTTTTACTTATCTACAGTTGTATTTTTCTGTCAGTGAACATTTTATTTCCAGTTTTTTGCTCTTAAAAATTTTGATGCAATGATCACTTCCTCCACATATCTGCATGTGTGTGTGTGTGTGTGTGTGTGTGTGTGTGTGTGAATGCCTTTCCAGAAACATAGCTAGATGAGCTGTCTTTTGCTAGTAGCTATAGATCATTTATTCTCTTGGTAGAGTCCATGGTGGACTGAGACAGGGAGAAAGCAGAATAAGCATGATGTCTCCTGTAATCCCCACAGGGGAAGAAGTGAGATGAGGTGCTCAGGGTGATTGCAGGAAGCTGGCAGGAGAGAGAGAGACAGCTGGGAAGTCCTGAAGAAGACACCGAGGGATTTGGGCTGACTGTGGTGTATTTGAGTGCAGATTAGGCTAAATACTGGGTCAGTACAAGTCTTCAGGAAGCAGACTTAGCGAGTCTGAAACTGTGTCTCAAGTGTGTTTTGGTATGTATGAATTCCATGAACCTTTACACCAATGCTGGCCACTGACTTCTTTTTCTGCCTTACCTGCACCACACAAGGAAAGGTGGATGGAAAACCCATTATTCCAAAAGGTTGATCCATAATGGAAGGTGGGAAGCCCTGCTGCGAGTATTGATGTGTGCATCTTGTTCCTCAGGGCAGTTCCTATTTTATATTTTGAAACTAATATTTGGGGAAGATGCTCGAATACTTGTTTCCCATTGTACTTTTGCAGACTAACTTGAGCCTGCTGAGTGTTTGTGTCCAGCAGTTAGCACTGTGGTATAAGACTTGTGCTGTTTGTTGGTTCTTTCCATATTAGTCATTGGTATTCCTTGCAGGAAAGACCAGACCTTCCTCATTTATTCACCTCTTTATATATCATATTATTAAGGACTTAGAGAGATGGAAAGGAGGGAGAGGAAGGGAGGAGAGCGAGTATTTGTGTGTTTATGTTTATCTGTTTCTTCGTTGAGCATGGCCTTAGATTCTAGACCTCACAAGATGCTGCAGTCCAAGCTTGTGTTTTCCTGTCCTCACCTTGGAGTCAACCACTTCTCCGATGAGTTCTAATTGCTTCTATTGGTAGTACTTAGAACTAACACATGTGAGCTCTAGGTGTGCTTGTTGATGCTGGATCTCTCAGCTATCTCAGTGAACACAGTTAATGTATAATAACACCTGTAAACACACCTAAATGTCTCAGCTGTATGTGTGTGCACAAAAAAACAACCATGAGTTCATGCTGATTCTAATCTAATCCAGATCTACAATGTGTGTGTCTGTGTGTGTGTGTGTGTGTGTGTCCCTTTATAAAGTGCACAGAAAACTTTTGATATTCCTCACCTGCATCTCTGTGAGTACAGTGTGCAGATTTCAGTTCCTGGCCTTCCACATCTGGTCAGGATGCCAGGTTCAAAGCTGTTCTGCTCCATTCCTCCCTCCCTTTTCACCACCGTGTGTGTGATTCTTACAGACAGATTAATTTCTTTCCCTTCTCATTCTTACTCACATCTGCTGTTACTATATCTGTAAGAGTTCTGGAAAACAGGATTGCTCAGTTGGGTGTGTCCTTCAGCCTTTTCATTTTACTATATTTCTATTTCTTTGCAATGACCAACTTGGCTCTTGCTGCAGGAGGGAGACTGAAGTAACAAGAGAGACTGTTTTGCAGTCTTGCAGCAGGCTGCCAGCATCCTTATCTTTTTCTTCCAGAAAAGATTGTGTGCTCTATGAAGGCACAGTGGCATTGTGCTGTGTTTGAGTGTGTCCTGCTTTTCCTCACACCCCACATGCTCGACTGACACATGACATAAGAGATACACAGGCCTGCTGCTCCCCTGAAGTCACTGACCATCTTCTCTGAACTATTCAGTTTAGCTACATGTCTTGCTGTTCTGTGAATCCACAGAGCTTATTTTCAATGTAGTTCAGGCTTGCCCTTCCCTGCAGGGCACTCTGTCCTCTGATATGGATCCCTCCTCGAGAGGCCTGCTAATTCAGAGCTTTCAATTGAAGTCATTGTGTTTCAGTGTGCTAAAAACTCTCAATTTAAATGGCCATTTTACTCCTATTTATAATCAATAAAAGAAACAGATGTTAAAGTCACTGGAAACATTTAGGAGTTTGTTAGTTATCATGATGTTTAGATTTAACCCATTTTTTCTCCTTTTCGGGGTATATAATCAGGTTCACTTGTGGATTTGAGGTGGACAGAGCTCTTGATTTCCTGACTTGTCCAGAGTACAGTACTCTGTATAAACTCTGCCTGCTCCTTAACAGTGCAGACCTGGAGGCCTCCTGCTTCCTGTCACGCCTCTGACTTGATTATGTTCTGCAAGTTTGTAAGGCTGTGCTTTGGAATTCAATACAATCACTAACCCTTAGGCAGTTTCTGACAAGAATGGAGAAAAAAGATTTGTGTAGATTTAAGGTGGAATTTTCCCTTGCTGCTATGAACTTATGTTCTGCTTTTAAATCTTGGTGTAGGAGTAAACACGGAAGTACCAACTTCATCCCAGAGCAGTTTTTGGATGACTTCATTGACCTTGTTATCTGGGGCCATGAACATGAGTGTAAAATTGGCCCAACCAAAAATGAGCAGCAGCTCTTCTATGTGTCTCAGCCTGGAAGCTCGGTGGTGACGTCCCTTTCTCCTGGAGAAGCTGTGAAGAAGTGAGTCCTTTAATATTCTAAGTCAGTTTTTCAGAAACCCTTACTATGTCTGGTCATCCTACACTGGTGCTGTTGCCAGCAGAGGACAGCTTGTTAAGATTTTAGATTTCATTTATCACTGTGTGCGCATGTGTGTGTGTGTGTGTGTGTGTGTGTGTGTGTGTGTGTGTGTGTGTATGAGAGGGTGCACACATGCTGTGGTGAGGTCCGAAGACAGCTTTGTGGAATCGAGTCTCTCCTTCCATTTTGTTTGGGTTCTGGAATTAAACAGTGGCTTGCAGGCAAGTGCTGAGCCATCCCATCTGCCCTGAGGTCACTTTGTGTGTGAGGGTCGGTTGTTGCAGTTGCTCTGTTTTTAGGTTGGTTGGTTGGTTTGTTTTCTTTCATTTTAATTGTCTCATTTATTTCTAGGCAAATAAAAAATGAAAAAAATGAAACAAATGTTGCTTTAAGGGAGGAGTACAGATAGCTGTAATTCACTTTGAAGTAAATCCAAACAATAAAGTGGAGAATAGTAGGGAAAGGTGCACAGGTGGTTGAGTAGACAGTGTCATAGACACCTCACTGTGGCGTCTGGGAATTGGGTGAAATGGGCTCCCTACCGAAGTTCTAACTTGGTTGTGCATCCATTTTTTTTCCACAGTGAAAAAGTTTTCTATAAATTCATGATTTTGAATAGTTTCTGTTTAGCTTGTCTGGACATAGTCTTGCTCAGTTATTAAGGGAGAATAAGGTTGAATTAGTTAATTGCTAAAGTCCTTTCTAGCCCCTAGATTCTCGCGTTCCCTCTTCCTCTGTGGCAGGGAACACAAGGGTGACTGTCACAGAGAGCAGTCATATAAGCCACATGGTCTCGGTCTACTAACAAAGCGTAGCCACAGCCATTTGGGGTCAGATGTCCCAGTTCAGCCTGGCTCACTCAGGATACTCCTAGAGGTGATGTTCCTGAACTTGCTCCTCTCCGCCTTCAGTTCTGCTGCATTGCAGGGTCACTGTCCTAGAATTTCCACTCAGGTATGATTAGATTTAGATTTAGACAGCTTAAATGGCAGTTGGCAAGATCCTTCAGAGGTGTCATGGCACTAAAGGTCTGACTTGACTCAATTCTTTTTTGGTAGGGTTGTAGGGCCATGGCTGTATTGCCGTGCTCAGGTCTTCTTACTGAGAGAGCGTTTGGTGGTTGTTGGTGATTTTGCTGCCTTTTAGGAAAATTCAAGACTAATATTTAAAAATTAATTTCAGATTACCTACTATGTGGACATTTACAAATTTTACGAAGTCTATATATTAGCAGATTCCCATAGTAACGTCGTAGTTGAGCCTTTTCTGGTTATAAATGTACTGTTGTAGCATATCTAATTTCTTTTGTGTCCATGTTGGGAGATGGCTTTGAAAGTGGTCTCACCATAGCCTTGAACTGATGGTTCTCTTTCCTTTGCCCCAGTGTGCTGGGATCAAAGAGTGTGCTACCATGCCTAGCTTTCTAATTCAATCTAAGTTGTTGACATTTCGTGAACTGGGCTTTGGCAGAAGGTCTTACCTGGTGGATCTGCTTAGGTCCTAATGGTTATGGTAGCAACAGGTACAAGGAGCATGGCAATGGGTGTGTGCTGAAGTCAGGCAGCTTTTCTCTGTCTGTAATGATCTGGATAGAAATTATTATACTATAGTCAGGGTTGTCCCTTTTTGAAACTGTATTTGCTCAGATAGGAGAGAGAGAGGAAACGATGGAGGAGTTCATTTTCTTCTTAGGGAGAATGTTTGGTATTTTTCACTATTAATTAAAATTAAATTGACAGAAACATCTATTTTTAATAGTATTGCTTTATAAGCAAATATTTTATAAGAACTAAGAAAAAAATGGAGCCTTTTATTTACGACAGGGTTCCAGCTAGCCTCTAACTTGTTATCCTCCTGCCTCAGTCTGCTGGGTGTTAGGAATCACAGGCATGTGCCTCCAAGCCTTGTTGATAGCTTTGAATGTGTTTGTTCATCTTCCTGAGGATGCCTGCTTTATGTCTGAGCTCTTGGTTCCTCTGTGCAGACATGTAGGCTTGCTGCGCATTAAAGGGAGAAAGATGAACATGCAGAAGCTGCCTCTCCGCACAGTTCGACAGTTCTTTATGGAAGACGTGGTTCTGGCTAACCACCCAAACCTGTTCAACCCTGACAATCCAAAGGTGACCCAGGCCATCCAGAGCTTCTGTTTGGAGAAGGTAACTGTTTCCAAAAGCAGCAATGAGGTCTGATTTGTTTGAAAAGTCACTGCCCCTCGGTTACAGGCTGAGCAGGGTAGACGGGAGCCGTCTGTGTTTATCACTCAGGACGCTGCAGCCTCACTGGTACTCAGGAATTCATCTTTCATTTATTTCTTTAAATCAAATTCTTTACTTTTTAAATTTATTCTTTGACAATTTCATACATGTATACAATGTCCCTTTCTCTCCCTTCTTCCCTTGACTTCTATACAAAGTCTTTTCTACATTCATGTCTTTGTTTTGTGACTCATTGAGTTTAAACAGGGCCAAATGTGTGCCCCTGGGTTTGGAACCGATTGGTGCCTGGTCTTGTGCCAGACCAATGCAACCTCATGAGCTTATGACTGCAGTGGTTATGTCCTGCTAGAGTGAGGCTTCACGACCATTCTTCTCTTCTGGCTCTTCCATTCCTCCAACCCTCCTTTCCCAGTGTTCCCTGAGCCTGAGAAGGGAATGTATTCTTGGACTTCCCGGACTGAGTGTCAACTACAAAGACTTTTCTTATATAGAAGAATGCTAGATATAGAGAAGTCATCATGAAGCTTTATTTATTTTATGTATATGAGTACACTATAGCTGTCTGCAGACACACCAAAAAAGGGCATCAGATCCCATTAGAGATGGTTGTGAGCCACCATCTGGGTGCTGGGAATTGAACTCTGGACCTCTGGAAGAATAGTCAATGCTCTTAACCACTGAGCTATCTCTCCAGAACGTCTTTTAAAGAGCACACACATCCAATTTCCTCACTTTGATCTGAGATTGATAATGGCTCACCTTCCTTGTGAAAGCAGATGCTGACTTTGGAGAAGGGAGGACACTGTGGTCCTGCACCTCTAATTTCCATTACATATTCCTTCCACCCTAAAAACTGTTCCAAATAAATCTTAGCCTCCTTTTCTTGTGTAGACTGCTGCCACCCCTCAGCCTCTGCGGAGGTCCTGGGTCTCCTGCTGAAGTCAGGCTGCACATTGTTATCATATAGGCTGCAGCCTGATAGCCGTAATTACTGACATTATTTAGTCCGCACGCTCTGCCAGCTTTGGCTTTACATCGTATTCTCATGTAAAGTAGGAAGTGGGGATGATGGTGGTGATCACTGATGCGTACTGACTGCTTTTGTGAGCTCTAGCCCACGTTATTATTTAATCCATTTGCAGCACCTGTATGTGGACAGGTTCCACCTCCTGCTTTCCTGTCTTCCTCTGTTCCCACCTCCTCTCTCCACCTCATTGTTATTGTTTCTAGGAATTGAATCCAGGATTTTACAGATGCTACACAATTTCTCTACCATTGAGTGCCTTAGCCTCCTAATCCATGTTCTCCACCACAAGCTGGACCTTAGATTATACAACTGGCCATTGTCACAGCTGAAGGAGCAACACATGGTTTGCATAACTGAAAAGCTTTCGTGTGTGCATGTTCCATGGTGACTGGTGTCACAGACTCAGGCTTACTAGGGTTATAGGCTTGTCTCTGTTTTTATGGCCACCCACCTTCTGGCAGCTCTCTGTTTTCCCTGTTACTCTTCACTATCAGGAAGATGTCAGCTGTGGCCCAGGTGCGTACATTGTCTTTGCAGCTGAAATAACTGTTACCCCACTAGCTCCAAATATCCCTGAATAATTTTATTGGTGTCCCATTCCCTGAAGTCAGACAGGTAGGAAGTCCCTCTGTCCGTATGATGTGTCTATAGCAGCCAGCCCACGGTTTCTCAGCCTTGGCACAGTTGCCATGTTGACTAGGTAGTTCTCTGCTGTGGGAGCAGCTGGGTTTCTGTGCCTTACAGGATCTGCCACTAAATGCCAGTAGTTCCCTGTCTTAGTCAGGGTATACTATTGCTGTCATGGGCACTGCAACTAAAAGCAGCTTAGAGAGGAAAGGATTATTTGGCTTACATGTCCTGAATCACAATCTTTTTTGGGAAGCTAACACAGGAACTCAAATCAGTCAGGAACCTGGAGGCAGGAGCAGAAGCCATGGAGGAGGCTTGCTTTCCATGGCTTCCTAAGTCTGCTTTCTTAGAGAGCCCAGGACCACTAGCCTAGGGATGGCACTGCCCACAATGGGCTGCGCCATCCTCACCAGTCACTAAGAAAATGCTCTTTAGCCCAGATCTAATGGATGCATTTTCTCACCTGAAGTTCCCTCCTCTGAGATGAATAAAGCTGTGTCAAGCTGATGTAAAAAATAGCCAGCACAATCCCTTTCCCTACAGTCACAATAAACGGACTGTGACATGTTCCGAGGACTTGAAATCACCTCTGCTTGAGCTCTGTTGCAGTCCCTGTACCTAAATTTTGGTCTCTTTTATTTCCTTTTTTTTTTTTTTTTTTTTTTGAGACAGGTTTTTGACATGAGGCCCTGACTATCCTGGAACTTGAGTTTGCTATGAACCTCTTGCTTGTACCTCCCAAGTGCCTTGATTGCTGGCATGCCCCACCCTTAGAAGAGTCATAAGAACCCAGACAGGAAGAGTGGTTATTGGCAACAGTGATTTAAGCTGTGTATAATTTGGTCATTTCTGATATCTCTTTGATATGGTCCTTAATTATATTGTTACCTTTATACCTGTGAGGACAAGATTCACTTGTTAAGTTTTTTATATTTTAAACTTTTTTTGGTTTTTGAAACAGTCCTGTTCTGTTGCTTAATTGGCCTGGAGCTCACTGGAGCCTCAAATACCCAGCCTTCTTTCTGCCTCTGGAATGTGGATTCCAAGCATGCAGGTCACTATGCCCAGCTTCCTACCTTTCTGTTTAGCACTGTGCTACCGCCTGGCGATAGGTGCTGTGTGCATGCTGGTTGACTGAGAGCTGACTGAGCAGATCTCCTTAAAGCTCTTTCCCGTCCAGGGGTATAGTCACTAGCACAGGTGGCTGTCACTGTAATACACTCAGTTCACTTTCTTGATTGTGCTAATCACATTCCAAGTACTCTATGTCCACATGTGCTTCATGGCAGTAGCACCAGATACTGCACAGGTAAATATTATTTCTGAGGAGCAGGCATGGTGCCACATTCCCATAATCCCAGTACTTGGCAGGTGGAGGCAGGCAGATCAGGGCAGCATTATAAGATCACACACTTGGAAAGGACCTCAGATTGGCAAACAGCTGCAGCCATTAGGAAGATGTGTTGGAAATAAAATCTGCCTTCTTGGACCGTAGCTCTCTCAGGAGCAATGTAGGATAAGTGCTTTGGTTTGGGGCTCTCTCTGAGATTTTATACGCTTGATCTGGTACAGCATTAACATGTTGGAAACATTCATATTGTTTAATTGAGCTTTTCCAAGGTAAACAATCCAAGATCCTGTAGATTCCTGCAGAATCTACATGACATCACTGAAAACTCAGTTTATTTGGTTTAAAGTTAAGGTGGGGTAACCCATGTTGAAACTTGAGTAGGAAATTGGAACAGAGTCAGTATTGTAGACTTTCTTGTGAAGAAGTTAGAATAGGGATGGACAAATTACTGAGAGTGTTTGTAAAATAAACTGTTAAAGGATGAGATTGGTGGGGGCAAACTTAAAGAATGCAGTCAGCAAGATGGGGACCAGGGTGGCTGAGGAGCTGTGTGGAACTCTGCAGTAATATAAACTATGTCAGCCAGTTTACACAAAGTTTAATACTTTGGCATTTTTATTCTGAGATTGAAGAAATGCTTGACAATGCTGAGCGGGAGCGGCTCGGGAATCCTCAACAGCCAGAGAAGCCTCTTATCCGACTACGGGTAAGTGTTGTGTGCATTAACCAACCCTTCTTAGTCTACAACGTACACTTAACATGCTTTCCTGAACATTAGTGAGGCAAGTGCTTGGAGTAATGGGAAGAGGGAAAAACGGGAAGCTGGAAGCCGTGGGCTTGGTCTAATCTCAGGTGAACTTTACTGATTTGCTAGTGTATTCATACTTGTGTTGTTTCCTAAACAATTTGTTTCTGCTCTGTCCTTGCTCTGCCCTCCTGCTCACCTCTGGGCACCTTGGCTTTGCTGAAGCTCCTGGGAGGAATTGCATGTATTCTCATTCTCCATGAGTCCACTCCAGCACCCCCTGCAGGCCCGCTGTGAGATGGAGCCTATGGCTCTCCTGCCATGCTGGTTCACTCCTGTTGTCCTTTCTGTTCTCAGTATAAATTCTTGAACATACTGTGTGCAGTTTGCTATTTTGGTTACTGTGAGTCAGCCTGTCCTTCCCACTGTGGTAGAAACAGGGTAGAGTGTGTTCATTTGCCCCACTGCTGCTCCCTTTCCACCAGCCCTGCTGTGTGTTTCTAATCTTTCGTGTCCTAAGACAGACATAGCCTGCAGTCACTGTCATCAAGCTCTGATGGAGCAGCTGACTTGTAATTTTGAGTTCACTTCAGTTTTTGCCACTGAATTCCTCTCAGTTACTCTCTGAGCTCTCTCCAGCTTCTCCTGTCTCTTAGCCATCTTTTTATTTTGAGCATATGGCTTTAACAGCATCTGGTAGTAGTGAGTCCTGATTTTTTTTTTTTTTTTGTAAGTACTGTGCTCAGGAAGTGTGGCCTTAAGCCAGCAGCCTTGGCATCATCAGTGTTTAAAATGTGCAATTCCAGGTCTCACATTGACCTTGTTGCCTTCTGACAAGATCTTCAAGAGATTTGTGTGCACATTACCTAGGGGCTGAGAACTTGGTAATGCTCAGTCCAGGAGGCTGGTGCTTGGTGGTCAGAGTAGTCAGTCTCACACTGAAGAGACCAAGAACTCTGCGATTGTAGACACCAAGAACAGTTCAGGAGGCTGGTCCCTCAGCAGTCCCAGTCTGGAGAGCCACTGGGTCCCCAGTCAGTGGACAAAGCCTGGAAATGCTTGTTGTAATGTAAGTGAAGGAATAGGCAGCAGCAGCAGCAGGATAAACCAACTCAGCAGCAAGAGGGAAGGGCAAGTGAGGAAACCATGACTCTTCTTCCTGCCCTTTTTATCTGCACTCTTACTGTGAGATGCTAGCCAGGTTTGTGGGTGGATTTTCCCACAACAGTTAAGGCAATCAAGACAACTAATGGTCTAAGAGGGTTAGAGTCTGCTGGTGGAGCAGGTGATAGGCAGCAGGTGATAGGCAGTGTTTGATGTAGAAGCTGAGGGCTCACATTTTTAGCCATAAGCATGAAGTAGAGCATGTAAGTCAGCAGTAGTTTGTACTTTGAAAGCCCACCTATGGGAAAGCCATACCCCCTAAGCCTGAGACTATGGGGGAATCTCATTCAAACCACCCTACGTAGCCATTTCTCAGAAGCCACAGACAGGACATTTTTCATTGTCTGGATTTTCCTGGCACTGTCTTTGTCTAGTCTGAAGCTGTCTCCCTGGGACCCAGGTGAATAAGCTGACATATGTAAGGAGTGTAGTGTTTTATTTTATTAAGGGTTTATTCCTCTATTTTGAAAGTTGAAACACTGACTTAAAAATCCCACCTTGTTTCCGGCTAGTACCATGCTGTGTGCCTAGGCTATCAGGGAAGACCATTCATTCATTCCATCCTGGGATGGCATTGCCTTGTTCTATTGAACAGGAAGTGTGTTTATGTAAACATCACCTGAGTATTATTCTATCAATAAGACAGATGGTTTAACATCACCATGGTCATTACATACAGAACATGAGTTTAGAAATGTAAAAATATTGAGCTTTTAGATTGATATCAATAGTATACATATCAGACTATAGATGCCAAAAAAAATATGTATTTCTCAAAAATTGACACACTGTTTCCTGGTTTAATGGTTTATTCTGTCTTTCCAGGTGGACTACAGTGGAGGCTTTGAACCTTTCAATGTTCTTCGTTTTAGCCAGAAGTTTGTGGATAGGGTCGCTAACCCAAAAGATGTCATCCACTTTTTCAGGCACAGGGAACTAAAGGGAAAAACAGGTAAACTGGTTATTTTAGAGAGTTAAAGAATTTAGCTGCCAGTATATATCAACCAGTGTTTGGTAAGATAAATACAAAATAGAAGATTTTAGTATTTGTAATATAGACAAAAAAAAAAGGTAAGTGAATATTTTATCTTTTGAACATTTTGGGTATTTTCTTGTTTACTTGCTTTTAGAGGCAGAGTCTTGCTATGTAGCTCAGTCTGGCCTCACACTGTGGATCTTTCCTTAGAGTCCTGAGTGCTAGGACTGCAGGCTTGTACCGTGCCACTCAGCTGCACTCTGTTTTTCAAAGTTGTGACTATCAATGAAGGCTTGGGGCAAGGCTTTCTCTGCGAGTTACAGCGCTCACGGCTTGAGACACCTGTTGTTTACTACCCACACTTATTTCCTACCACAGAAGAACGGTCAGAGTGTATGCTTTCACCTTTTGCAGTATTAAATATTTTGACTTAGTGTATATAGTGCTTTAGACTTCAGAGTTTTGAAGTCAGAAGTGTTCTGTAGTTTGGTATGTTGATGATTGAATAGTTCATTTCCAGCTAAATTTTATAAACACCTAGTGCCCTGTTAACTATTAGACAAAGTCATCAACTAAAATAATGTTTTTTCATAAGAAATATCCATCATGTTTATTACAGAGTACCCCTCCCTTTATACCTAGTAAGAAACTTTTCAGCAATGGTAGAAATTAAGAATAATGGATAAAAGTAAAGAATGCTATGAATTTAACCTGAAGGCATGGTTCAGATACTGAAGGATAGAGAACAGAAAGCCATATGCAAGACCCTTGTTTTGGCTGTGAGTTTTAGTCAGTTACTTCTTAACTCTGTTTGAGTTTTATCTCCAGCAGATTTTGGCCTGGCAATAACTTTTTTATTAAAACTCGAGTTGCTTGGTGGAAATTATGTCTCCTATATGTGTCTTAACTGAAAGTTTCTTATTTTGGTCACTCTTATACTTTACAATATGTGTGATATTGTATAAATTAATACCACTTCCACTGTTAAAATTTCTCATTTATAAAACCAACAGTGTTTTGTAAATGGCCTTAACACAGTGTTTGGCAAATGCAGAGTAGTCATCGTATTTGTAGAGTAATACTAAAGCTTCTGCCTTGGAACTCATAAAAGGTATTTGTCTACCTGACAAGAGGTACACTGAACTAGACGGTGTCTCTACCATCTAGTCATTTTCTAGACTTTCTCTCATGGAAAATGGTTTTTCTCCTTGGGTTTATCATCTCTATTCTGCGTTCTGTGTTCAGACACTAGCTGCCTTTGATGGCTGCATGTAGAGTGTGCCTTCTTGGTGTGCCTTGTTCTCTGTAGCACTTACCACCTTACACTGCCATTGTTTGCTCTCATGGGCAGGGAGTCTTTCTTTCCCTTTCACGTTGTGTTCATGGCACCATTTTCAATTAGCCCATGAAGGTATCAGCAGAGCAAATGCTGGGCCTGTTTGCTGACCTCCTGCCCACTGGGCATTGTTAAACTGCTCTGCACAGGGAGTCAGCAGAAGTACATTCAGTATATTTCCTGTTAGTATTCTCACAGAATGCTGACTGGTGCTTATAGTTGAGACTTAATACAGTCTGTCTGTAAAAGACATTGCCAGTAAAACTGGCTTCCTTTATTTTGAACTGGGGTGTGTGTGCTGGTGACGTCAGCAGCACTTTTCAGTACTGCTGTGATTAGTCCTGGGACCTGCAAGTTCTGCCTACCACCTTTCTATCATTAGTGCAGATAGCCACATAGTGGCAGATGTCAGTAATGCTCTGTTACTGTGAGTGTGTTTTAACGCTGATACTTTCTGAAAGGAAGGGTCTGGGGACAATCTCAGCAGAACAGTGGCAAGAGCCATGGTCCCTTAAGATGAGGAAAGCTAATGTGGACTGTGTGGAAAAAGAAGCAAATCCAAAATAACCCCGGGGACATTGCAAATACAGCTTTCTTTTTTCCTTAAAATTTATGTGGAACCACTGAGGAGTTGGTGAGAGCTTGACTATTTTAATGTGTTGTAGAAGCTGCTGTTTTTTTGCTGGTCTCCTTTCTGTAGGAGAAGAGATCAACTTTGGGATGCTCATCACAAAACCTGCTTCAGAAGGAACAACGCTTAGAGTAGAAGACCTTGTAAAGCAATATTTCCAAACTGCAGAGAAGGTAACTCCATAGAACTCAATCTCTTAGCTAGGGTTTCATTGGAGTGAAGAGACACCATGACCAGGGCAACTCTTATAAAAGAAAATGTTTAATTGGTACTGGCTTACAGTTTCAGGGGTTTAGTTTATTATCACCATGGTGGAAAGCATGGCAGAATGCAGGCAAACTTGTTGCTAGAGGAACCAAGAGCTCTTGATCTACAGGCAGCAGGAGGGGGCTGTCTTCCACACTGGGTGGTGCTTGAGCATAGGAGACCTCAAAACCCACAGTGACACACTTCCTCCAATTGTGCCACTCCCTGTGGTCCAAGCATTCACACATGAGCCTGTGGGGGCCATACCTATCCATACACCACACTCGTGGTTTTTTAAGAATGGGTAACACGGCAGATTTTAGTGTAGACTGTGTATAATTCACAAGTAAATGACTCTTCAGTGCATCTGTGAGGTAACCAGTGTGAGGTAGTTTATATCAAAGTATTCGGTGAGCATTGTTAGTATAACTAACAGGAGTCATTGTTGCCTTTATATTCCTCCTCTATTGCTGCTGTAAAAGTCTCCATCTTACCTTATGTTTGAATGTAGCTTTTTTTTAGTTTAGTTACTTACCGATACAGCCATATGATACTGAAGCTACTTGGACTTCTCTAGTTGTATTACTTATTTTTAAAAACAGAAATTTATTTCCTGGCAGTTGTATAGGTCAGAAATAGCACTGGTCTTTCTGGGCTGAAATCAAGGTATCAGCAGGTCCATATTCCTCTCTGGAAGTTGTAAGGGGGTGTGTATTTCTTAACCTTCCCCAGCTCCTAGCGCTCCTTATGTACCTTGGCTGAGTCTCTTGTCCATGTGCACATCTCTGACCATTTCCCAAGTTAAGTCTTCCCCTGCCTCTCACTTGTTCTTTCTGGAACCCTGTGATTCTATGGGGCTGCCTGGAGAACCCTTGACAAGCTGTGCAATTTATAGCTGGATGATGAACACCCTTAATATCATCTGTAGCCTTAGACTCCTTCACCATATACCATAGTCAGAGGTCCCAGAGTGAGGTGGAGACATCTTTACAGCCATCATCTTGCCTAACCCAATGGTTTATCCTCATCTCTAGTAGTCATTGGTGGCTTCTCTGGGATTGTCAGCCATTTAGGTGTTCACAGCTAGCTGTACCCATCTTTGACTCCCCTCCTATTTTTTTCTGGCCCTTTTAATATTTAGCCATTGGCCTAAGTGCTGCCTGCTGACCCCATACCCTGCAACTTGTCTTTTCCCATTGTAGATTGTGGTTCATTCTTGAGTAGTTACTGGATGAAGGACAGATAACGCTTGTGCATCAAACAGCTTGTGTTATCTTACACAGAAAGTCCAGCTCTCACTGCTGACAGAAAGAGGGATGGGTGAAGCAGTTCAAGAATTTGTGGACAAGGAAGAGAAAGATGCCATTGAGGAGTTAGTGAAGTACCAGCTGGAGAAAACACAGCGGTTTCTTAAGGAGCGCCATATCGATGCTCTGGAAGACAAGATTGATGAGGAGGTGAGCTGCTGACTGACAGCTTTTAAGAGTCATGCTAACATTTGGTTTCGGTTTGGATCCACCCTGGTTAAGTCTCTGATTTGTTTGGTTTCCTCATCTATAAAGTTAAGGGGATAAAGTGATGAATAAATGAGGTAGTGTCTAGGCAGAAGCCAGTAGAGTGTGAGGTGTGACTGGTGCTGAGTAAAGGCTGGTTCTGTCCTAGAGAAAGCGTCTTTCAGAGCTCCAGGGAGGCTTCAGAATGAAGCCTGTAGTGTAGAATTGCTTCTCTTTCACTTTTTTCATTAGTTTTGACTGAGCTTTTGATCTCACCTAGAGCATGCTTTCCCTCTGCATACCAAGGGGCAACAGAGGAAAACTTCCATTGGACTATATTGCAATTTACATATCAAAAAGCAAATCAGAGTATTAAAATATAGAAAAAGTATTTGTAAGTGTACAGAAGAAAAGGCTAGCATTTCCATTATAGTATTAAAAGGCTCATAGAAAGCTTTAGAAAATATTAAACATTTCAGTAGAGCCATGAACAAAAGATGTGAAAAGGGAGTTCACAAGAAGCATGCATGGCTAACAAGCTTGAGAAGGTGATATTTAACCACACTTAACCAAGGACATTCAATTAATTTTAAATGGATTTTGTTTGTCAAATTTACCTTGAGAAAACTGGCTGTCAGTGCACTCTTGGGGGTGTACTGAATCAGCTTCCTGACAGCAGCAAGGCATGGCCCTGGGGCTGTCCTAAGGAAATAGTAACACAGACATTAGTACACAGCAGAACAGCTGCCAGTGCTGTGCTTAGTGGGGGATACTAGGAAACCTTTGTTTCTTTGAACTCTGTCACATAATCCAGAAGTCTAAAGACTTCTATGAAGTATTATGTATTAATAAGCTATTAGGTGTTATGATTTTGGCCAGGTGCCATGGCATGTCCGTGACTTCAGAATTGAGAAGGTGGATGTAGGACTGGGAGTTCAAGGTCATCCTTACTGCACAGTGAGTTTGAGGTCAGCCTGGGCTACGTGAGACCCTGTCTTAAACACAAAGTATGTGTTTGAAAGCCGTGGAAAAGAACTTTCAGTGTAATGTTACAGGCAAACAGGACTGTAAGGGTGCAGAGATGACTTATTTACTGAGTTTCATAACATGCATGAGTGTATAGATACTTGGAGATTCCAAACACACTGGTAAGCCTCTTGGTTATAGATCTGTATTCCATGATGTTACCTTCTCTGTAGAACAAAACACTATTTCATAGATGCAGTCCCTTGCCTCTCATCTTAGTGTGTTTAGCATGACCTTCTTAAAGCCTGCTGTGTTATGTGTAGATAATATCATTCAATGCCAAGTGCTATTCAAGTCAGAGTAGATCCGTGTACTCAGCGCCACTTACTGTATGAGTCTAGATGTATTAAGTCAGTTTGGTTTCTGTTTACACTGATTGCTGAGCTGTACAGTGTGTGTCTGTGTCTTTGTGTCTCTGTATCATGGAAGCCAAGAGCATGGCCTCTAGACTATACTGTCTGGTCAAAATCAGAAGCCTTAGCTGTGTACTGATTCTTGAATTCTTTAAGTTCTCAGTACTTTATCTGTAAAGTGGAGTGTGTAATAAAGTCTCTACTACGCTTGTGAGGATTAAAACAGTGTCTATCAGTTTGCCTCCTACCTGATGTAATTTTCTTGCTCCACATGCTGTTCTGTGTGAAAAGCAGTATTTTTGGTGGTGCCCAAAGTACCATGTCTTATTCTGTCAACCTTTTTTTTTTTCCCTGAGACAGGATCTCTCTATTTAACCTTGACTACTCACTACTCACTATGTAGACTCAGTTGGTCTAGTACTCACAGGGATCCACCTGCTTTTGCCTCCTGAGTGCTGAGATTAAAGGTGTGTACCACCATGCCTGGCTCCCATACTGGCTTTTGACCCATGGTTCCACTGCTCTTGTCAAGGTTTCCAGTGACTCCTTTTGCCAACACCCCTGTCAGGGACCTGCTTTGACTGCTGCCAAACTTCTCGAGTCATTTTTATCTTCCAGGTCTTACAGGACTCCCACACATGGGCATGCTTTCCTCCCTCCTTGGTGGAGTACTCCTGGTATTTCCTGGTAACTTTCTCTCCATCTTCTCAAGGTGGACTTCCCATAGCTTACTTAGTCCTTGGACCCATTTATCTGCACCCCCACTTTCTAACCCAGCTTCATGGTTTTGGGAAGTGTCTCCTAAGCCTTTCTTTCTCAGCTCCAGACTTGCACAGCATATAGCTTGTTCCTTGTGTGTGAAGAACAGATCTCCCAAGCAAAATGCCCATTCTCTGCCCGGCTCTTCCAGTAGAGTTCTATGGACACTTTAGTCTTTGAGTTGCACAGACTGAAAACCACCAAGTTATTCATGATTCTGTCCTTTGTCACCTGTATTCTGATGGGGCTCTGACTTTCTTTGTTGTGGTCTAGGTCCGACGTTTCAGAGAAAGCAGACAGAGAAATACCAATGAAGAAGACGATGAAGTTCGAGAGGTAATTTACAGCTGCAGTGAACTGTGTCTGTAGGTTGGTTTGTGAACCAGAAGTGCCAGTGGGTTTAGTTGGACAGATTGCCCAAGGGTATGTTGTGTCTAGGAGTGAATCCTCTGGCCACCATTGGCTGATTTGAGCTCAGGTCACATTAGCAACAAGTGTGTGACTGTCGTTGCTTTTATCCCTTCTGCTCTTGTTAAAATGTATTTGTACATGTGATGGACACAGATTCAGAGAAAATCCTCATTATTGAAAATAACATGTAGAGATATTTCTGAATTAGAATGTTGGAATCCTCCCAAGTCTTCTTAAATGTCAAGAAAGGTAGATTTGAAACTGCTTACTGAAGTTCCAGGCTTCTGACTATTTCCAGTGCTTGGTCACCTTATGATTGAAATGTGCGTGTTTGTTTCCTGGTTGTGTGTTCTCTGTATTTTGATTACTGTCACTGTTTCGTGGTTATTTTACACATTACTGACTCCTGAGACTTCGTCTGAATTGCTTTCAGTTGGTGGTTTTCATGGTTGTTGTGTGAGTATCCTGCTAGGTGTACAAGTATGCAAGAGTATGGTCAAGTGTGGTCTTTGACCACAGAGTGTCTTCATTAGTCTCATTACTCTCCTTAAAAGCATAAGAGCTGGAGCTGAGGGCATATCTCAGTGCTCAGATGCCTACCCAGCATGTGTGAGGCTGTCGGATTCATCCCTGTCACTACCAAAAAAAAAGGGAATTTTGAATATTTTATATGGAAATGTAACATTTCAGGTAAGAGCCCTTCAAAGCTTAAAAGTTAGCTATATTTTTAAAACATTTGCAGGTAACAGGATTTCCTGGGCTTTTAAAGTCTTTACTAGACAGTAAAGATTGGGTTTTGTAGGCTGCCATTTTCTCATGCTGTATCAAAGTGCCCGAGACCATGTGATTTATAAAGCATAGGAAAATGTTTGAGCTCACAGTACCAGAAGCTGGGAAGGCCAGAGAACGTGGTGCCAGCATCTAATTAGAGTCTTCCTGGAAGGCTCTGACTTGTCAAATCACATGACACAGTAGGGAGTGAGTGTGCTAGCTTTCTTTCAGAACAGAGCCATTGTCTATGTAACTCATGAGTCCATTGATTCTGTGAATAGATTAATCCACTCAGGAGGCCTGAGCTCATACAGTGACCACTCCATACTATTGATAAGTGTGGCTTTCTACATAAAGTTTACAGCACGTGAAGTCCGGAAAATATATTAAATCATAGCAATAAGCAGTTCCAGAATATTTTGGGTGCTGACAGGGTTTTCAGCCTGAGAATCCTACTCAACTTGAGTAATAGAGTTGACATTTCCCAAGATATAATTCACAGCTTTGTCAGAATTTCTGAGCTCAGAATATGAATCCTATTACTGTGTATTAGTTATTTTAACAGACAAATTAAAATATACATACCATAGAGCTAGCTACTTGTTCACATGGGAAAAACTCAAAATTGTTTGTTTTAGGTACAAGTTGACTTGGAAACATAGGACCAGGACTAGACAGTAAAGATTGGGTTTTGTAGGCTGCCATGATCTCCATCCTGTGCTCTGCTGTCTCTTGTTGTCCTATAAAAACTTAGCACTATTCTTAGTCTGGCACACACTCCTTGTTTTTCTGACTTATAAGTTTTTGGGTCCTTTCTGAATTTAGACGGGGTTGGTATACCATTTCAAAATGTGATGCCAATCCTAACCCAGAGTGAAGGGGGATTCACAGGATGGGAGGAAGGGTTTATGAATCATACGTACAAGTAATTGATGTCCACATGGCATTAAAAGGGGCTTCTTAAATTCAACAATAATAGCAACTTAAAATGGACAAAGGGCTTGGCTAGCCATCTTTTCTTTTCAAAGGTTTTCAAGTGCTCTGTCAGCACTTGAGGATTCTAAGTATTCACAATGCAGAGAGCCTTGACAGCACCCACACTGGAGAAGCAAGAGTGAGACCAGGGAGAGAGTGAGAACAGAACAGAACAAGGGTGAGGACTGGCACCTGTGTGTGCAGCCTGGAGCTCCATACCTCCTGAACAAGGGAACCTGATGCCTGGGGTGGAAAGCAATATGGCCACTCCTGAGAAAGATAAAACACAGGCTTAAGTATAAGCCAAGGGGATTGGAGGCGGAGCCTCAAGTGAATACTCATCTGCCAGTGCTCGCAGAGTATGATTAACAGTAGCCAAATTAGACACAGCAAGTTTCTATCAATAGGGCACTGGATAAGCAAACTGTGGTATCTTCCTGCAAGGAAATGCTAGCATATTACAGTCTGACATATGCTCCAGTGTGCAAGGAGTCTGAGCACACACTGAGTAGGAAAGAGCCAGATTCCAATGGACTAACGTGATGTTTCATCTGTATGTGGTACTGTGTTATTCAGTCATGGGGATGGAGCAGAACTGGGATTCCCAGGGACTTGGGGGTAGAGAATGGATAGAGTTTCAGTTTAAGATGAAGAGTAAGTCTACAGTTAGTAACTTAAAGCTATTATGCAGAAATGGTTAGTTAGAACACTTTGACTATAATATTTGAGAAAATGAAAATAAAGATGGTATTTAGACAAACAAAAATAGATCATTTGGAAATGATGGTTTATCACTTACAAATAAGCATAACAGTGGGGCACAGGGGTTTAAGTGCTGTTGCCCATTGCTGCTGCTATAGAGGTGCTGTGCTAGCTTGCCTTCTAATCACTGGTGTCTATGAGTACCTGTTTCCATCATCCCGCATTTTGTTCCACTACTAGAAGTTTGATCTTTGTAGCTCTCAAGGGATTCTCTCTTGATGCTGTGTTTGATACATGCTTCTATTTTTGAACAATGAATGCGCGTTCCCTACACCCCACTCCTGGAACTGAGGACTGAACCCAGGTCCTTGCACTTGCTAGGCAAGTGCTGTACCACTGAGCTAAATTCCCTAATCTCTTTGAGCAGTTTTTTAATATATATAAAGCATTCATGTGAAGTACCTACTTATAGTAGGGTAGAGGGTAACTCCTGCTTCTCTGTGTGCATTCTCTTCCTCCTTCTTTTCCTTTCCTCCTCTTCCTCTTCTTCCTCCTCCTCCTCTTCCTCCCCTCCTTCTCTTCCTCATCCTCTTCCTCCTCTTCCTCTTTCCATCCACCTTCAAATTTTGTCGTGTAGAATTATCCACATATTCCTGAAACCTGTTGTTTAAATAAGGAGTGGTGGGAAGTTTAAGGCCTTTGGCATCTAGGGAGGGGGAATATGGGGCCTCTTCTTTGTGTTCTGTTCGTGTGAGATGTATTAATATGTATGGGTCCCTGACCTGCAATCACTCTGCAGATCCTGTTACTTGCATGCCAGCCTTCCAGGTACTCCTGGGCTCTGTTGTATTCATGAATACTGGCCTGTTGTTTCCTCTGTGTATGTCCAGTACTGTCACTGCCTTGGGCTGGCTTGGGGGAAACTAGGCACTTGTTCTGTGCTGCAGCACTGCTGTTATAGCGGTGGGCTCTGCTCTTTGGAAATTTGGCTCAGCTCAACTCTAAAGCTTTCTTGGTTCTGGATGGTGTTTGGGGATTTTTGCTGGATTGTTTTGTTGTTTTGTTTTTAGCTTTGTGTGTATGAGTGTTTTGCCTACATGTATGTCTGAGCCACATGCTTGCCTAGTATCCAAACAGTCCAGAAGAGGGAGTTGAACTTCCTGAAAATGGAGCTGCTGATGGTTGTGAGCTGCCTTGTGGTTGCTAGGATTCTAACCAAAATCCTCTGCAACAACAGCTAGTGCTCTTAACCTTGGGCCGTCTTTCCAGGTCCTGGGTGGTATATTTAAGCAATTTTCTTAAAATATTCTTGGGTGATTAGACTGTTGATACCATCTGTTTTTTTCTTGAGGCTCTAGGTTGTTTTCCGGACCGGCATTACAACTCATTTATTTATTCTAATATTTTACTTGCATATGTGTGTATGTGTTCATGTGTAGACATGTGTGCAGAAGACAGTCTTGAATGTTTTTCCTAGGTGCTGCTACTTTGTATGTGTTTGTGTATGTGGGGCCAGAGATCAATGTGGGGTGTCTTCCTCTATGGCTTTCTACCTTATTTTTTGAGACAGGGTTTCTTACTGAACCTGGAGCTTACTGATTAGGCTAAGCTGGTGGGGCTAATATGTTCCAGAGATTGTCTGCGTCTTCTCTAGTGCTGTGATACTAGACATATGCAGTGGTGCCCAGATGTTTAACGTGGGTTCTGGAGACCCAACTCAGGTCCTCATGCTTATGCAGCAGGCACTTTACCAACTGGGTCGTCTCCCTAACCACTACCTTCCCTCATCCCCTCCCCAGACAGCATGTCTTGCTGGCCTGAAACTTACCAAGTAGTTCAGGCTGGCCATGAGCCTAGTGATCCTCCCTTCTTGGGCTCCCTAGTGTTGGCATTGTAAGTTGAGATCACTGTACATGGCTTTCACATGGGTGCTAGGCTTGAACTCACATCATTATGGTTTGTCTACTGAGCTATTGCCTCAACTTTTCCTAGCTTTGTTGGAAACTGAATTAACCTACCTCCTTTATACCTCAGATCCTGCATCCTGCAACTTCAACCCTCACCCCACTCCTATCTTGTCTACTTTCTACACACACACACACACACACACACACACACACACACACACACAC